ATATATATAAATAAATAGAATTGAATCTCTTGGTGTAATATATTCTTTTTCCTTTTGGGAACTTAACTATAACTAGTCTTAAATCGGGGCATATAGGATTCGATCCTGACTTTTTTACATGGAGTATACATTTTTAGGCAGAGTGAGAAATACATTTTATTTTTTTGTTTTTTTTGGGTGGTGGTACCAGGGATCAAACTCAGGACCTTGTGCTTAAGAGGCCAGCATGGTGCCACTGAGCTAAATCCCCAGCCCGAGAAATAAATTTTTTAAAAAGTCAACTTTGTAAGGGACTCGAGAATTTAGCTAAGTGGCACCCATGCCTCCTTCACAAGCACCGGGTCCTGAGTTCGATCCCTGGTACTGGGGGAGAAAAAGTCAACTTTGTATTGAATGAGATCCTTAGAGCCAACTTCAGATGCGAATTGAAGACTGATGTGATTTATTAAAATGTAGATTCTGGAAAAAAAAAAAAAGTAGATTCTGTGGTCAGTGTTTGGATTTGAATCCCAGCCTTAATACTTGCTGGTAATGTGACCTTGGACAAACTATATGATTTGTTTCATCATCTATAAATGGGGATGGTAGCCCCTTCTTCACAGGATTGTGAGGACCAACTGAAATAGCACATGTGAAATGCTTAGGACACTACTAGTTCTGGTAAGTACTTAATAAATGTTATTTTAAAAGCAGTTCCAAGCTGGACATGGTGGTGCAGACCTGTAATCCCACCTTTCTGGGAGGCTGAGTCAGGAGGATCACAGCTTCAAGCTTTGGCATTCTAGAGACTTAGTGAGACTCTATCTCAAAATAAAAATAAGAAAAAAGGTTGAGACATAGTATGTGTGAAGGCTCTGAGTTCAATTCCCAGTACTGTCATAAAAGAAAAAAAAATTCCAATAGTGAAAAGTTGTTGAGTAGGAAATTGGTCTTTCTACCTTGTCATTAATCAAACTATCTTTTGTTCCTGTACTTCTAATCATATTTATTTTGTTTACTTTAATATAGACTGACTATAGGCTTAATGTAAAAGAAATCGTGCAAGATATAGCTAAAGAAAAGAATTCGTAAGTTCTTGATAGGCAGAAATGGACTTTTGATTAGTTCTTTTTATGGTACTGGTCATAAGTACTGATTCTGTCAGGTACAGGACCTGTGGCTGAGTCATCACAATGCAAGGACAAAATGGAAATGGTGGCGCACACCTATAACTCCAGCATTCTGGGAAGCCAAGGCAGAGGATTGAAATTCTAACTCCAGCCTGGGCAATTAGTAACTTAGTGAGACCTTGTCTCAAAATAAATAATAAAAAATGGATGGGGATGTAGTTCAGTGAATCCCCAGGACTGCAAAAAAGAAAAAATGAGAAAAAAAAAAACCCAAGGATATATAAAACGTCCTGCCTTCAAGAAACTTAATAGTACATAATCAAATTTAGACTCTTAATGTTTTTCATTGTTAAATATTCAGCAAAACTTTTATTAATACATAAAGTATGACTGATGAGAGAAAACTTTTGGTGTAGAAAATATTAAAAATGTGGACTGGGCATGGTGATGTATGCCTGCAATCCCAGCACTTGGGAGGCTGAGACAAGAGTATCACCACAAGTTCAAGGCCAGCCTGGGCCACATAGTGTTGTCAAGGCCAGCCTGAACTGTGTAGGGAGTCCCTATCTCAAAAACAAAAACCAAAAGGGAAAATGTTAAAAATGTCAAAGAAGCGTAGAAACACCCAGATAAACTTCCTTATCTAAGGTGAAAATTGGGTAACTAAAATATTGTTCTTTTTAAAAATCAGGTTCAATTTTATATACAACTGAATTCTGCGCAGAGGAGAAGTAAAAGAAGCCGTCTCTGTGAGCACAGCTATAAACAGTGTAGAAGAATAAACATGGTAGAAAAATTGTTTTGGTTTTTATGCTTTCCCCAAGCCCTAAATTTCCCCTTTCTATTGTTTGAATAGTAAAGTTAATATGAAGAACTAGATAGTGATGCAAATAAATGTGATGTTTACTTTTGGTTCTACTCATTCTTTTTTGTACAACATTAAAGAAAGTGAACTTCTATTTGTATTTTTTTTTAAATTTCTCATTAAACTTTGAAAAATCTTGTGGTTGAGGATCATTTTTTACTTCTTTTATGCTGATCAATGTTAAGACACAATGATAGTTTAGGTCAGTGGAGTTTTATGGGACCCTTGCTCGAGTACCATTCTGGGCCGCGTACAAGTACTTCAAGACTGGACAGACCTTTTTAATGAGGATTTTCAATTATTTTTAGGAACTAGCTTTGTCTGATTGAATCCAAGATGCAACTCCTTTACCAAACTTTATACTCTAGTGATGGCAAACCTTTTAGGGGCCAACTACCCAAACTGCAACTCAAAATCCACTTAATTATTGCAAAGTGCCAACGATGCAATAAAAACTGAATATTGGGGTTTTAGTTTAGAAAAAAACAACTCATACACTTGGCTCATGTGCCATTGGTTCACCACTAGTGCTCTAGTGAGTTCTATAGAGAACTCAGTATATTAACTGACCAGTACATTTTATAACCATCCAGGTCTTGAGTTAAAAGCAACAGACCTTAAACAAATGGAAAAATATATTAAAATTTGGCTAGATCAGTTAAGTCATGGGAATTGGTATTAAAAAGTTTTCCCTTTATGTAATAGTGATGGTATTTCTATTATGAAATTGTATCTTAATTATTCTTAGAGCCAAAGTAAAAATACTGTGAAGTTTTGAACTTTTAGTTCATGAGCTTAATTAATTTAGATGATGAATAATTTGGTTTTAGCAAGTGGCAAAGCATTTCTAAAATAGGAGTAACTGAAGCAACTGGATTCTGGGCAAGAATAGGTGATAGGTAGGGGTCAAGTTTGTCAGCCTAAGATAAAAATACCAAATTAAAAAAGAAGCTTTTAGGGCCAGGGATTTAGCTCAGTGGTGCCACCGCCTGCCTCGCAAGTGCAAGGTCCTGAGTTCAATCCCTGGTGCCAAAAACAAACAAAATAACATTGTTTAAATTAGGATCAGATTTGGGGGAGTAAAATCACCTTCCATGATTGTTTTGGCATCCAAGGGAAATACTTCAAATGTTAGCTCTTGAAGTTCTGTGGGGATGGGAAGATGTGAATTTTTTCTAGGTATGATTTATAGAATGCTGTGAAAAAATAGTGTTTGAATTGAACACTCATCTGATTCAGAGCCATTCTTGTCCTGTGTAACTTAAGCTTTGACCTAGAAATTCTTCCTTGATCACTTCTTCCAATATAAGTGCTTGAGTCAGTTATCCATATGCTGGGGCCTAGTGAGCAAAAATTTGTTTGAAGTTGTGTGGGTTACTAACGGAGATATGGTTTTGAATGTGAAATTCATAATGTACAAACAAACTTAAAAAGTCTTCTAATCAGTTACATTTGAATCCTCTGTTTATCCTGCTAGATAAAGAACAAGGGGGATTCAAGTTTTGTATGTTCTTATAAGCATTAAAAGAGAATACAGGGCATTAAGATCTTTTGATAATGTAACTTTTTATTGCATGTCTCCAGGAACTAACAGTTTTAATTTGTGCACTCCAACTATATAAGCTAAGTTCTTTGAACAGACATATTTTTTGAGACCCCACTTGTGTTCCTGGTTTGTCTACAAATGAAAGCCCTCTTTTCCTTTGTATAACCACAATATATACTGTCTTATTTTCCCTGAGTAATCCAAATAGTGCATATTTTATATAAAAATACTAAATGACAAATATTTGAGGAGGGGTAAAAACTAAAAAGTTATACTCAATTGCTTGAAGTCATTTATGCTTGACTTACCTCTTTGAGAATAGTGTATTTTTTTCCCCTTAAGTGACAAAGATGATGATTTTTTTTTAAAGCTGGTAATACTTAAAATGGCCTTTTAATTCTGTATATGAGCTCATACTGTTAACAGCATATTTGGAAAAGTTTACTTTTTATCAGTTTGCCTTGTAGCAACAATATTATTGTGGATATTTAAAAGTTCCATTAAGTTAGCATTGTATGTGGACAAAGTATAAAATTAGCTGGTCTATTTTCTTCAATACTTAAAAGTGAGGTAGAGAGCCAGCTGTGATAATGCACACCTGTAATCCCAGCACTCTGGAAGGCTGAGGCAAGAGGATTGCCATGAGTTCAAGGCCAGCCTGGGCTACACCATGAGTCCAAGACCAGCCTAAAAACTACATGAGACCCTGTTCAAAAAACAAAAAGACAGACAATTCAGCAGACCAGCAGCAATCAGCTAACAAAAAGATGTGACTATCATGCTTTTAGCTTCTTGATGACTATTTTTCAAGTACCTGCTTATTGAGTTGAGGTGAAATGCCTGCAGTATCTTCTCCATATCTGAGTTCCACAAAATATTTTCACAAGTTCATAGTATTTAGATCAGTATGTGCTGATTGGTAAGACTGCTTCAGAGAAGTTGCAGTTTTATATGTTGCATTGCCAAAGAAGGCTTAGGGGTTTCTGATTTTCCTATACATATTTCACTTGTTTTACATCACTTATTGTTTGAGTTAAACTGGACTTATTTTAAGCAGCTTTTGTTTTTTATGTGATAAGAAGCATAATACTGCAATTTGACTTGAGACATGAATTGCATTTCAATATTAGCTCATTAAGCCTGTTTTGTGAATAAAATTTAAAACCTACATTAAACTTGTTTAGGTGTATTGTCTGTTGAAGGAATGATCAGTGTATTTAAATCTTACTCTGGCTGAGTGTTATAGCTCATTGGTGGAGAGAGCCTTTGCCTACTTGCATTTGATCCCTAGCACCAGAAGGGGAAAAACCAGGTTATTGTGTTCACATCATAATGTACATGTACCATTTATAGATTGGCTTTGAGAACTTTTCTGGTATTTATAGGAAATGTATAAAAGAAACTTTGAAGTTTGGGTTATATTTTTATATTTGTAAAGCAAGAGTTTGATTAAAATGGTCACTGTTCCTTTTTATTTTACTGTCATTTCAATAAAAAATATTTAAAACTGAATGCTTGTTCGGGGTAATCCTGTGGGGGGTTGCCAGCCTTAGTGAGTCAGTAGAAATCTTGCATGGTTCTGTTTCTGTGTTGGTGGGTGGGTGTTATTGGGTAAGAGACAGCTTGGCATCTGTCTCTTGTTGAGAAAATACCAGACACCCACATCTCATAAGGAGATAAGGGAGGTTGAGACAGGAGGATTAAGTTTCAAGGCCAGCCTGAGCAATTTAGTGAGACCCTATCAGAATTTAAGAAATAAAAATTTTAGCTCACATTTTGTAGAGGTTTCATTCAGTCCACAGTCCACTGGCTCTAAGGCAGGGCAGCACGGCAGAGGGGTGTGACAGAGGAGAAACTGCTCATGGCATGGCAGTAGAACACAGATCAAAGGAGGAGGGAGAGAGATATACCTTTATAAGTCACGCCTCCAGCAACCCACCTTCTCCCACTAGGCTTGGCTTCCTAATATCACATTTAGCTATAAACTCATCCGTGGACCATTACTATGATCCAGTCATCTCCGTAAAGCCCCACCTTTGGTATGAGTGCATGAGGCTTTGGGAAGTTATCTAAATAAAAGCCATAGCATCACAGCAAGAGCCTGATGGTCAGGGTCAGCGATGCTGGGCTCTCCCATTGTGCTTCAGCAGCATGTGTTTAGCATATTCAGTTGAAGGAGTCTGAAGAAACAAGACTGCAAGTTATAGTTCGGTTGCCAACTGCATGTGGTTTGTGTTAGTTTCTTGTGTTTACTCCTTTAGTGTTTTTTTTTTCTCAAACTTGCCTGACTGTCCTGTGAAAACACGTTTGCTGCTTATATAATACTGTGTAATTTAATTTCAGCACCTTAGAAAGTTTATAATATAGGAATATAAGTGTATAATAAAATAGCTATTTGAGACTTTGAGGGACCGTAGTTGAGTGAAACCTGGTAAAAGTTACTGCAAAGTTTTGAAAAATTCTTTACCTGTATATTTATGCTGAACATCAGATCAATGAAAAAATAAGTATGAAGGAAAGTAAAAATTTAAAATTTTTCCTCCAAAAAAGACTTGGTTATTTGGAGTACTGTGGTCTAATTTATGAAACACCAAAATTCTATGGGAATATAGTTAAGGCTACTGAATTAATGAAGTTCAGTTCCTAGGATTTTGAGACTCAGGCAACAACAAAACCACCCAGGCTTTCTCACAGGATGCTGTACGTCAAAGTCATAAATATGAAAGGACTTCAGGTGTTTTAAAACAGGAAAATAGTAATCTAGGTGTGTTTTTTATCTTATTGAATTTATTGGTATTTTTTAAGTATACAGTACAGTTACATTCATCATTGGGATCCTGTACCTTTACATGACAGATCTTGGTTCTCATTTTTTCCCCTTACCCCTGCCCTCCCTTCACTCACTCCACTCTCCCCTATTTACAAAGACTTTGTTTCCATTTTTTCCTTTTCTCATATTTTTTCTTTTCCCTTATTTCCTTTCCCCTACCCTTTCCACTTCCTCTACACCTTTAGCCCTTTTCTTCCTATTTCACATTATCAGTTATACAATTTGGATCTCATTTACATGTTTATTTTTCTAGGTGTGAGTCTTATTCCCCAGAAACTGCTTTATCTGAAATGATACACTTACTTCCTTTAAATCAGAGCCCTGTGTGGTTGTACACACCACCAGTCCTAAGTACTTGGGAGGTTGAGACAGGAGGGTTAAGTTTCAAGGCCAGCCTGAGCAATTTAGTGAGACCCTATCTCAGAATTTAAGAAATAAAAAAGATATTGATGTAACTCAGTAAGTGCTTAGTATATGTGAGGCCTTGGGTTCACTCATCAGTACTTCAAGTAAATCAGAGTTGCAATCCCACAAAGATAGCAGGAATCATTGGAAGTGGGGGTCCTCTCAGTCTCAAAAGTAGAAGGCAAAAAGGGTGCATTGAAATGTAGGTGGGGCAATTTAAACTTTGATCATGGACTTAACTTTCTTGTCCATGCAGGATCAGCTTTTTAAAGTCCCTGCTGCTATATTTATGCTTGTGTGTTCTACTGATAGGTACCAGTATTCCCTATGTCTACAGTCTTGGTTTTCTGGGCACACTATTTATCTCGTCTGTGTTCTGCCTCTCCCGGCCCTCACAGAGGAGAGAATGCAGTTAACAAGAACTGAAAGTAGTGGTTAAAAACTTTAGGAGGCTGGTTTCATTCTTTCTGTTTTTGGTAACAGCTCTGAGATCTAATTCACATATAACTCACTGTTCAAAATAATACAATTCAAAGATTTTTAGTATATTCAGAGTTGTGCAACCATTAGAGGGCATTTTCATCACTCCAAAAGGAAGCCAGCACCCTTTAGCTATTACTGCAGGTCCTCTTATCCTCCCACCCCTAAGC